CACCCTGACCCCAGACGGCCTGCACCCTGACCCCAGACGGCCTCCACCCTGACCCCAGACGGCCTCCACCCTGACCCCAGACAGCCTCCACCCCTGACCCCCCGCAGACAACCTCCACCCCTGGCCCCCCAGACAGCCTCCACCCCTGACCCCCCAGACAGCCTCCACCCCCGACTCCAGACAGCCTCCACCCCACCCCATCCCTGCCACAGCCTTCTCCCTCTGATGCCCTCTGATGCCTCTGACCCCACAGGTGCCTCCTTTGCCTCCCCTGAGCTGTGCCCCAGGTCCCCACTCCACTCCACAGCACTCTCCTGCCCACAGCCCACGGGCGGGGCCAGGGGAGGGTAGAGCTGGCTGGGGCTCTCCAGGGATTGGTGGCACCCTTGGGGGTAGGAGGGGGTCCTGGAGGGGTGGAAGGTTGAGGAGTGGGAGCTGGGCCTGCAGCCTGGCTTTTTCTTCTTGGCCCTCCAGGTCGAGAGGCAGGTTCAGGCCATGGCTGGGGTGGGGGTCAGGCTAGGGTAGAGGCCAGACTGGAGTAGGTGTCAGGCTGGGCTGGGGGTCAGGCTGGGCTGGGGTAGGGGGTCAAGCTGAAGGACTGCTGCAGGAACCCTCAGGGTCTCCCTTCCTGTCTCAGGGCAGATGAAGTCGGCCTGATTATGACAAACCTGGAGAAGGCCAACCAGGTGAGGCACCTCTGCCCCAGGGAGGGGGCTGGAGGAAGGGAAGGGTACACAGGAGGGCTGTGGGGCTGGGGATGTGACAGAAACACTTGGAGGTGCAGACACCTGGCCCTCTAGCTCTGAGCAAGGCCTCCATCAGCACTGGGGTCAGGGCCGAGGTCCTTGGAGGCCTGTGTCTGGAGTCCTGTCAGTGGTGGGCAGGGAGATGATGGAGTGGCGTCCCGGGTTGCCCCCACACACCTCTTACCCCAACCCCCTGTTTTCTCCAGAGAGCCGAGGCCGCCCAGCGGGAGGTGGAGAGTCTCCGGGAACAGCTGGCCTCCGTCAACAGCTCCATCCGCCTGGCCTGCTGCTCCCCGCAGGGGCCCAGTGGGGTGAGATTGGGGGCCAGGCAGAGAGGAGGGGGTCTCACGCCAGTAAGTGCATGGTGGTTTGTGATTGTGGAATTGTGCACAGGGGATTGTGGGAGCTCAGCTGGCATGCTATGACCTTCTGCCCTTCTAGCAGAAGATACGATGTAGCCATGCTTTCTCATTTTTCTTTTTTTTTTGGGGGGGGGTGGGCCAGTCGTGGGGCCTGAACTCTGGGCCTGGGCGCTGTCCCTCAGCTCTTCAGCTCAAGGCTAGCGCTCTACCACTTGAGCCATAGCGCCACTTCTGGCTTTTTTTCTTTTTGCTTATGTGGTGTTGAGGAATCGAACTCAGGGCCTCATGCATGCAAGGCAAGCACTCTTCCACTGAGCCACCTTCCCAGCCAAAATGAAGAGGGACTTTTTTTTTTGGTTGGTTGTGGGGCTTGAACTCTGGGCTTGCGCGCTGTTGCTGTGCTTTTTAGCTCAAGGCGAGCGCTCTATCCCTTGAGCCACAGTGCCACTTCCTCACATTTTTTTTTTTTTTTTGTCGGTCGTGGGGCTTGAACTCTGGGCCTGGGCGCTGTCCCTCAGCTCTTCCAGCTCTTCAGCTCAAGGCGAGCGCTCTACCACTTGAGCTACAGCGCCACTTCCGGTTTTCTGGTGGTTTATTGGAGATAGGAGTCTCACGGTTTTCCCTGCCCGGGCTGGCTTTGAACCGCGAGCCTCAGATCTCAGCCTTCTGAGTAGCTAGGATTACAGGTGTGAGCCACCAGTGCCCGGCCACTTCCTCACATTTTTCAAGCTCAAGTTTTCAACAAAAAAAGCCCAGTATCTCTCCTGGAGGACCCCTGACCACCACCACCACCCCCTCCAAGAATGCCTGGCACCTTCTCAGACCAGAAGAAGGCCGTGCCAGCTGGCAGGGGGGCCAACGGGGCGGGGGGGGGGGACTGAGCTAGACAGCTGGGCGCAGTGCAGTAATGGTGGTGGCCACCAGGGGTCTCTGTTGGACACAGTCTGGTCAAGTTGGGTGGCTGCCTAGGATGGGATGGTTTTCACTCCACTGGTCACTTCTCCCCCAGGGCCCATGCCATACCTCAGTTTCCTCATTTACCCAAGGATCTAGTGTCAAGAACCTAAATGCAGTTCTGGGTTCATAGTATATGCCCAGTAAAATTTGGGTGTTCCTACTATCGTTAGTGCCTGTGTGGGGTTTTGTTCAAGGGGCTCTCGGAGCACTTGACTTGAGCAGGTGTCCTGGCAAGATTTCCTTTTGTGTGCCTCTGCCATGCCTGTGTCTTTCTTTTCTTTTTTTGCCAGCCACGGGGTTTGAGTTCTGGGCACTGTCCCTGAGCTTTCATAAGCTCAAGGCTAGCACTCTACCACTTGAGCCACAGCTCTACTTCTGGCTTTTGTAGTTAACTGAGGATAAGAGTCTCATGGGCTTTTCTGCCCAACTGGCTTCAAACCACGATTCTTAGATCTCGGCCTCCTGAGTGGCATGAGTCATGGGCATCCAGAATGTCTCTATATTTCTGTGTGCGTGTGTGTCATTGTGAGAATTCAGAGAAGGGGTGGGGGGGGAGTCCTGGGATGGGAGCTGGTTGGCCCGGGGTCATGTCTTTGTCCCAGGAGGCAGTGTGTGGATGTCCACAATGGAGGGAAAGGACAAGAGAGTAGGCTGATCGTGCGCCAGTCCTGCCGAGGAATCATGGAGAGGAATCTGCCAATGGCTCTTAATTAACCCCATGGACCCAGCAAATGCCTGGCTAATCAGCCACAGGGATTGGGCTGGTTTGGGAGCTGAGCTTTTCTGAGCACTGCGGTGGCGCTCGATGCTAATTAATGTAATGTATTAATGGCATCCGCTTCCTGTTTTAATTGGCATTTATCTCCGTGTAGAAGGTGGGGTTGGAAGTGGGTGGGGAGGTTCCCGTGGGCTTTGTTTTTATTTGTAGTGGAGCCGGAGGCCAGCCTGACTCACAATCCCGAGCAGCAATCTCTCCATCTTCATCTGGGTCAAAGGAGCCATTTCCTAAATCCTGGAGAAGCAGTGGGGAGGAGGGCGCCACCAAAGTGTGAGCTGCAGCCGCAGATCCTCAAGTCTGACTGAGCGCACTTGCTCAGGATGGGACAGGACCTACATAGAAAACCGAGGGCCCGGGCGGCTCCCGCCTGTCCTCCTAGCTACTCAGAAGGCTGAGATCTGAGGATCGTGGTTCAAAGCCAGCCCAGGCAGGAAAGTTTGTGTAAGACTCTTATCTCCAATTAACTACTCAAAAACTGGAAGTGGTGCTTTGGCTCAAAGTAGAAGAGTGCTAGCCTTGAGTGCAATAACTCAGGGACAGAGACCAGGCCCTAAGTTCAAGCCACAAGACTGACAAACACAAACAAAGCAAACCTTTTACCTTTATCCACTTCCTTTTGTGGTGGGTTTTTTTTTTCCAATGCTGGGATTTGAACTCAGGGCCCGATGCTTGCTCAGCAGATGTTCTACCACTTTCTGCTACACACATACCCAGTCCTATTTTTCTGAGTCCATGTTGTTTTGTGTGCATGTTGTTTTTGTATTGAGGGTTGTGTGTGTGTGTGTGTGTGTGTGTGTGTGTGTGTGTTGATACAGGAGCTTGAATTCAGTCTCACGCCCTCACTTAGCTTTTCTGCTCAAGGCTGGTGCTCTACCATTTGAGCCTCAGCTCTACTCCCTCTGGCTTTCTGGTGGTTAATTGAGGATAAGAATCTCTTGGATTAGTCTGCCCTGGGCTGGTTTTGAACCTCCATCCTCACACCTCAGTCTCCTGAGTCTCTGGGTCACAGGCACGAGCCCGGCGGCTGAATGGCCGCCAAGCACCTGGCACATTGGGTTGTTAGGCTTGGAGCCCCACCATGGGTCTAGGAAGGGTGGGAGTTGGGCGGGGCGAGCAGCCCTGGCTCCCCACTCCTGTCTGGCAACCCCTCAGCACTGCTCTGCCCCCAGGACAAGGTGAGCTTCGCCCTGTGCTCAGGACCTCGGCTGGAGGCTGCGCTGGCCTCCAAGGACCGCGAGATCCTGCGGCTGCTGCGGGACGCGCAGCACCTGCGGCACTCCCTGCGAGAGCTGGAGGAGGCCTCGGCCAACCAGATCGCCGACCTGGAGCGCCAGCTGGCGGCCAAGACAGAGGCCATCGAGGTCGGTCCCAGGAGACCCCGGGGGAAACCCCAGCCAGTCGGCTGGCGGGTCACTGCCTTCAGCCCTGGGCCAGCCTCACCAACTTTGTTCCCTCTTCTAGAAACTGGAAGGAAAGCTCCGCGCCCAGTCTGATTATGAAGAAATTAAGACGGAGCTGAGGTACAGTGCAGGGTGGGGACAGCGGTCAGAGTTCATGCCCTTTCCCCTCCCACCGACCCACGTTGCTGTGTCTGTCTATACATGTGCATGCCAATGACAGGACTTGAACTTGAGCTTTTTTGCTCAAGGTTAGCACTCTACCACTTGAGCCATACCTCCACTTCAAGCTTGTTGGTAGTTAATTAGAGATAAGAGTCTCTTGGGCATTCCTGCCTGGGTTGGTTTTGAACCATGATCCTCAGAGCTCAGCCTTCTGAGTAGCTGGGATTATAGGCATGAGCCACTAGCGCCCTACGCTCTGCTGTCTCCTTGCTGCTGGTCCTTGGTACCACTAAACGGGTCCATTTGAGGCCAGGCAGGCATGGTGGCTCACAGCTTTTCCTTCAAGAGCAGTGGGTAGGGAGATTTACGAGGGAGCTGTCTTTATGGGTCAGACTCGGGGTCCGGGGGTCACCAGATGTGGCCATCTCCAGGGAATGTAGCAGTCAGTTAACAAGCCGGCGACTCGAGGCTCTGGGGTGGCCGCGGGGCCTCCCACTGGCCCCTTGGTGTTGGAGGAAGGAGACGACATGCCACAATTGGCTGAAACCATAATGCGGGGGGCTGGGGTGCAGCTCAGAGGTGGCTTCTCTGGCATCCGAGAGGCCCAATGCGGGCCACCGTGGGAGCTGGGGGGGTTGGGGGGCTCCCTGTCAGGGGTCTGCTGGTCTCAGCCCCTCCATTTCTCCCTCAGCATCCTCAAAGCCATGAAACTGGCCTCCAGCTCCTGCAGCCTTCCACAGGTGAGTGCCCAATGCTGCCCCTTGCCCTGCGCCCTCGGCCCCACTTCCTGTCTCCCCAATGCCCCCACCCCGGAGCCCCTCAGCCCTACTTCCTGTCTCCCCAGGGCCTGGCCAAGGCTGAGGACTCCATGCTCATAGCCAGGGAGACCTTCTTCCCCGCACCCAAGTTCCTGCTAGACAAGCCGGTGCTCCTGGCCAGCCCTGGTAGGGGGAGCTCTGGAACCTGGGCCGGGTGGGGGGCTGCCTGGGGTCCCCCACCTTCTCCCAGTCCTAAGAGCCAGGGCGTGGGAATATGGTGATTGAGCCCCCGACTTGCCCCACGTCCAAAGTCGCCCAATCTGAGACCTCGCACCCCAGACCCTAGTCTGGCAGGGAGGGCTTTGGGGTGAACTCAGGGAAGAAAGGGGCTCACTCTGTACCCCATAGCCAAGCCCTGGGGATGACCCATTTGGTCATTGCTGGTTCCCCAAAATGGTCTGCTCCCTGTAGGGCCCATCGCTTTCCAGCCCCGCGACTTGTCCAAGACTCTTTTTTTTTTTTTTTGGGTCCGGTTGTGAGGCCTGAACTCTGGGCCTGGGCGCTGTCCCTCAGCTCTTCAGCTCAAGGATAGCGCACTACCACTTGAGCCACAGCGCCTCTTCCGGCTTTTTCTATTATGTGGTGCTAGGGAATCGAACCCAGGGCCTCATGCATGCAAGGCAAGCGCTCTACCACTGAGCCACCTTCCCAGCCCTTGTCCACGACTCTTTTGCTGCCTGTGTTTCCTCACCTATAAAGTGGGCTGACGGGGGTGCTGCGTGAGGGAGGGGGTCCCCGGGTAGGCACAGCGCAGCGCTGGTGTGGGGTGGTTGCTGTTCCCTGCCCTGGGCCACGTGCAGTGCCCACAGCAGCTGTGGGGGTTAAGCGCCCAGTTGTGGGGGGCTCTGGATGCAGGGCTGGAGAATGGGGGGACCAACTGCCAGCAATGGTGCTCATGGACCTATAGCCCTCCCCGCCCCCTCCCTCTCCTCTCCCTCTCTGAGCTTGTCCCTCCTCTTCCCTGTCTCTCGGTCCCCCCCAACTCATTCTCTCTCTGTGTCTCCCCCCAACTCCCCGTCGCTCTGTCCCCTCTGTGTCCGTCTGTCCATCCCCTGGCATTCTAGAGGAGGATCCCTCTGAAGACGACTCCATCAAGTGCTCGCTGGGCACGGAGGCCCCGTACCCCCCGCTCCCCCCGCCACAGGAGCTGCCCCCTCCACCAGGCCCCGAGGACCCCCTGTCACCCAGCCCCGGGCAGCCCCTGCTGGGCCCCGACGGTGCACGGACTTTCTCGCTGTCTCCCTTCCCCGGTCTGGCGTCAGGGGACCCGCTGCTGCCCAAGCCCGTCCCCTCCCCGGCCGCCTTCAAGGGGGAGGCTGGCGGCCTGCTGGTGTTCCCCACAGCCTTCTACAGCGCCAAGCCCCCCCCGGCCCCCGCCACCCCGGTGCCTGGGCCGGAGCCCCCTGGAGCCCCCGAGCCGGCCGACGGAGCCGGGCCTGCGGCGGAGGAGGAGCAGCTGGACACGGCGGACATCGCCTTCCAGGTGAAGGAGCAGCTGCTCAAGCACAACATCGGGCAGCGCGTGTTCGGCCATTACGTGCTGGGCCTGTCCCAGGGCTCGGTGAGCGAGATCCTGGCCAGGCCCAAGCCCTGGCGCAAGCTCACAGTGAAGGGCAAGGAGCCCTTCCTCAAGATGAAGCACTTCCTGTCCAACGAGCAGAACGTGCTGGCCCTCAGGACCGTCCAGGTGCGGCAGCGAGGTGAGCCTCTGTACACGCCCCGCACCCCACACGCTCCCCCTCCCACCGCACCCCGCTCTGCCCGCCGCCCTGCCCTCTGCCCATGCTGCTGACCGACCAAGAGGCTGGGTCTGTCCTTTGAGCCTCAGTTTCCCACGGGTGAGATGGCCTGGGCAGTCAGGTGCCTCACAGGTCATGCTCGCCGCAGCCCTCGCTTCCACAGCCTTGCGCCTCGGTTTCCCCACAGAGCAGCCTCCAAGGGAGACATGACACTACCCTGAGTGCGGTGCTGCCGTCTGTCTGTCCTCTCTGCCCTCCTCCTGGCTGTCTGTTTTATCTTCTTTTTTTTTTTTTGTGCCAGTCTCAGAGCTTGAACTGTGGTCCTGGGCGCTGTTCCTGAGCGTTTATGCTCAAGGCTAGTGCTCTACCACTTCAGCCACAGCTCCATTTCCGGCCTTTTGGGTAGTTCATTGGGGATCAGAGTCTCATGGACTTTGCCACCCAGGCTGTCTTTGAACTATCATCCTCAGATTTCAGCCTCCTGAGTACCTAAGATTCCAGCAAAGTGCTGGTGGCTCAAGCCTGTCATTTTATTATGCGTGCATGCGCACATGTATGCCATTGCTGGGACCTGAACTCAGGCCCTGGGTGCTGTCTGTGAACTTCTTCACTCAAGGCTAGCGTTCTACCACTTGACCCGTGGATCCACTTCTGTGCTGGTTAATTAGTAAGGGTTTCACAGGCTTTTCTGCCTGGTTTGGCTCTGAACTACAGTCCTCAGATCTCAGCCTCCTAAGTAGCTGGGATGACAAGCGTGAGCCACTGGTTCCCAGCTATTTATTTATTTTTACTTTTTGCCAGTCCTGGGACTTGAACTCGGAGCCTGAGCACTATCCCTGAGCTTCTTTTGCTCAAAGTCTGCACTGTACCACTTGAGCCACGGTACCACTTCCAGCTTTTCCTGTGTATGTGGTACTTGGGAATCAAACCCAGAGCCCTGTGCATGCTGGGCAAGCGCTCTACCACTAAGCCACATCCCCAGTCCCTGTTTTATTTTTAATTCAAAGTAAGTGGGGGCGTGGGGGCATGCACCCCTTGGCCTCCTGCCCTCGGGAGGCCGGCCGAGGCCAGCCTGAAGTTGGGACCAAGGCCTTCTTGCCTTCCCAGGCAGCATCACTCCAAGAATCCGCACGCCGGAGACAGGCTCGGACGATGCCATCAAGAGCATTCTGGAACAGGCCAAGAAGGAGATTGAGTCTCAGAAAGGGGGTGAGTACTGGCTGAGGCCCCCAGCAGCCCTGGAAGAGGGAGGGGCAGCGCCTCGCCCACTTTTAGTCCATTCCAGAAATCCTAAATGTGCCAGAGCTTCCACAAAGTATTCATGCCACCGCTCAGATACTGGCCTCGGTCCCTGCTGCCTTCACGATTAAATATCATCTTCCTGCCCCTTCTGTCTAACACCAACCCACTGTCATCCCAGC